ACAAAAGGAACCCTATACAACGCCAGCTCTGCTGGCGTTGTATAGCGTTCCGATTTTCTATGCAATATCCTTGTGCACAGCATGCAGAAGAAAATGCACATGGCTTCTCAATCGCTGCAGCCCATTTTCAACATTAGCGGCCACAGTCAGACTATTCTGTCTGAACAGGAAAAAGAAGCTCGATGTTTCCACGGTTCCAATCCTATGCTTGCGGGAATGATAATGTGGTGCTTATTGAGCCGCAGTGACTCTGGGAATATTTTAGCTCCGGAGCGCACAAGGCTCAGCACGCTCTCAATAATGCGCCCCCCACCAGCATGCCAGATGCTTACACGGCCATGTAAGTTTATTCTGGGCTCGCTGAAAACATTGCAGAACTGTATCTTGGTTGGTGTAGCTTGGTAGCTGTCCTCGAAAGCAGCAGGAGATGGCCGTGGTTCTTTTAGTAGCCACAGTATGCTCCAAGCGTGTGAAGCTATTGTTGGATATGAAGCACGAGCAATATCCTTGCCTCGCGCCAACAAGTCTGGACTGCACAAAATCTGCTTGCAGCAAAAGTTTTTTAGCTGCGGGCTTGCGGCGCACCAACTGAATTACGTCGCGCCCGACACACGTAGACAGCCCGTAGGTAGGAAACCAGTATTTCAATAGCGAACAGAATGCTGTGAGTACAACAACTGTCGAGTGCTTGTTTGCTTCTCTCGTCTACCTTCGCCATCGTTATCACAAGAACCAACCTCAGAACCTGCTTGCAGCCCTCCTGTGGGAAAAGCGCTCTTCAATACGCTGCACTTGGACGCCAGACATCATAAACCGCATTGTGCTGCTCGTTGCCCAAACTTCTCCCGAGAACCTAAAAACAAAAATACGGTTGCATATGCTACCTTCATCTGCTGGGTAACAGCTCAAAGACTGCAACAGCAATCGCGGAGACGAGCAGCACATGCATCGTCTAACACAGCGCGAAGCAGGCTCAGTGGCACTGGGTGCACTGCGGAGACTCGACACAATGCCCTTGCAGGCGCAGCAACAGAAGTATTTCCAGTCCCAATCGCAAGATGCAAAGGCGAGGCAAGCGCCAGGCTTGCTTGAGCTAGCACTTGGCCTACTTGCCTCAGCTCGATAGAGGCCCAAAAGAGTTAGGCAAACAGGTTGGACCCGATTACGAGCCGGCGTGCAACGTACCGCATCGGTATCCGAAATATACGAGGTCCGCGCATACGCCAGTTTGTACATTTTGCAGCAGTGTTGCCAACCGTATGGTCCGGCATCGCTAGATCCCTCCATAGGGGTCCAGACGCAGGCAAAGTACGTCTGGCAAGAGCCATTGGCGCACGACTCCACAACTGTTTTACAGGAATGAATTGAGTATACCACCGCCTTGCTCCAACAAGTATAGACGTTACTGGTATCTCGTACCT